TAGCTATTATCAATAAAGGTAATTTAATATATTTTCTAAAAGTTGATTGAGCTAGTAACAGAATACCTCTTGTTTTGTGTCCATGTGGAATGGTCTCCCAGAATTCCATTACGTCTTCCTGGTTGTTTCTTTTTGAGGGGGATTGTTTATTTAAAATTTCGAATTCTGACTTTTTACCCAACCGATCTTTAATATTTAAAAAAAGTTTGATTAGGTCGGATATAGGAAAAGGGAAATCTTGCTTTTTTTCCAAAAAAAGCGGGGAATGAGGATTTCCTTGATACGGTCCCCAAATAACCAATTTACCGATTAAGTAAATAACTATCAAGAACGAAGTAATCCTTTAACTTTGTTTAACGTCCCCCTTTTTGAGAAAGGAGAATAGGAACGAAAAAACTCGAAAGACTTAATGGAATTGCACTAGAAAAAAATATCTTTTTTCTTTCTCTATATAGAGATAGAATGCTTGTCATAATTCGTGAACTAATGCAACGTCTAATTTGATTTCGTAATTAAAAACGTTAGGTTGAAATATCTATGGATATTGCTACAAGAAACATTTTATTCAAGGATTAAGTTATTACTCAACAAAGATGAATTTAAATTATTAAAAGATAAGATGAATTCAGAAGCACTTTATTATAAATATAGCAAACAAAATTCCAGTGTCTAATGGGGACCTTACAATGGATTTGATTTTCTCTCTATATATCCTACAAACATATCAAGAAAAATAATAATGGACGGGTCCTTAGATTTATTTGTGACCTTTGAGGAGCCGTATGAGATGAAAATCTCATGTACGGTTCTGGAATAGGGATGGGAACTGTGATGTTATCATCCACTATGATTATCTAACAGTTCAAGTACAGTTGATATAGTTGAAGCGCAGTCAAAATATGGTTTTTGGGGATGGAATTTGTGGCGTCAACCTATAGGCTTTCTAGTTTTTCTAATTTCTTCCCTAGCCGAGTGTGAACGATTACCCTTTGATTTACCAGAAGCAGAAGAAGAATTAGTAGCAGGTTATCAAACCGAATATTCCGGTATAAAATTTGGTTTATTTTACGTTGCTTCATATTTAAATCTACTAGTTTCTTCATTATTTGTAACAGTTCTTTACTTGGGGGGTTGGAATCTTTCTATTCCGTACATATTTGTTCCCAAGGTTTTTGAAATTACTAAAAGGGGTAGAGTCTTTGGAACAATAATTGGTATCTTTATTACATTAGCTAAAACTTATTTGTTCTTGTTCATTCCTATCGCAACAAGATGGACTTTACCGAGACTGAGAATGGACCAATTATTAAATCTTGGATGGAAATTTCTTTTACCTATTTCTCTAGGTAATCTATTATTAACAACTTGTTCCCAACTTATTTCACTGTAAAAAAATACTTCTATATTCATATTCACGACTTGTCTCAAACAAGAGAAAGAAACAAGTATCCTATTTTTTATAGATATTCACGATATGTTCCCTATGGTAACTGAGTTCATGAATTATGGCCAACAAACAGTACGAGCCGCAAGGTATATTGGTCAAGGTTTCATGATTACCTTATCACACGCGAATCGTTTACCTGTAACTATTCAATACCCCTACGAAAAATTGATCACATCCGAGCGTTTCCACGGACGAATCCACTTTGAATTTGATAAATGCATTGCTTGTGAAGTATGTGTTCGTGTATGTCCTATAGATTTGCCCGTTGTTGATTGGAAATTGGAAACTGATATTAGAAAGAAACGATTGTTTAATTACAGTATTGATTATATTTTGTGGTAATTGCGTTGAGTATTGTCCAACAAATTGTTTATCAATGACTGAAGAATATGAACTTTCTACTTATGATCGTCACGAATTGAATTATAATCAAATTGCTTTGGGTCGTTTACCAATGTCAGTAATTGATGATTACACAATTCGAACAATTTTCAATTTGCCTGAAATAAAAACTTAAGAACTCATTTTGATCTAAAAGAATGAAGGTTTTTATTTGGTGAATAATTACAATTATATTGATTAGGGGGCGAGAATCCGGTTTTAATTTCTATTAAAAATCTATTTCTGTAGTCTATATTGAGGATTTGCAAATATATAGATTCAAATTACTCTTTCAAGAGATTAAGCCAATAACTATATCTCCATCAATCCATATCCATGAAAATGGAATTTTTTTATAAGAACTATTATAAAAAAGTAGAGTTACTTCTTTTTTCCTGACCGGGTCAATAAAGTTATGAAAGATTTTGATTTATTTATCTCTGATTTTATATATAATGGATTTACCTGGACTAATACATGATTTTCTTTTAGTATTTCTGGGATTGAGTCTTATATTAGGGGGTCTGGGAGTAGTATTACTTCCCAATCCTATTTATTCTGCCTTTTCGTTGGGATTGGTTTTTGTTTGTATATCTTTATTCTATATTCTAGCAAACTCCCATTTTGTAGCTGCTGCGCAACTCCTTATTTACGTAGGAGCCATAAATGTTTTAATAATTTTTGCTCTGATGTTCATAAATGGTTCAGAATATTCCAAAGATTTCCATCTTTGGACCGTTGGAGATGGAATAACTTCGGTGGTATGTACAAGTCTTTTTGTTTCACTAATTACTACTATTCCAGATACGTCATGGTACGAAATTATTTGGACTACAAAAGCAAACCAGATTATAGAACAAGATTTGATAAGTAATAGTCAACAAATTGGGATTCATTTATCAACAGATTTTTTTCTTCCGTTTGAATTCATTTCAATAATTCTTTTAGTTGCGTTAATCGGCGCAATTGCTGTAGCTCGTCAATAATAACTCTTTAGAACT